TGTCCTGGACAGGCAGCCAGGCGCGGCGTGCTCCCTCCGCCGGGCGCCTTGGTGGCCGAGTCAGCGGCAGGGTGGTGCACGAGCACGGCCGGGTGCTGTGCGCCTGCGGGAAGGGCTCCGAGAGGGCTCCGAGAGGGTTCGGAGAGGGCTGCGAGAGGGCTCTGAGAGGGCTCCGAGAGGGTTCGGAGGGGTTCCGAGAGGGTTCCGAGAGGGTTCCGAGAGGGTTCTGAGAGGGTTCAGAGAAGGTTTTGAGAAGGTTCAGAGAAGGATCAGAGAAGGTTTCGAGAAGGCTCGGAGAGGGGTTCCGAGAATGCGTCTGCAGCGGCCACGGCTCGCCAACGGACGCGGCGCACGTCCTCGAGGGTTTCGATCGCGACTCCGCGCTCGACAAGTACTCCGTTCCGGCGACCCCGTCGCAGCGGCAGAGGCTCGCCAAAATCATGGCGGATGCCGGCCGCGTCGGAGGGCGCGAGATGTGCGACTTTGGCGACGCCGCCGACTCCCCGGCCGTGGCGTTCCCCGTGAGCTTCGTCCCCGAGATCGAGGTGTGGGGCGCCGCGGAGGAGAGCGAGGCCCCCGGCGGAGGCGCCGAGTGGGCGCAGCCCCCGAGTGGCCCCGACTCGTACTACACCCTCCCGATCCCGCCGATGCCCTACGCCCGGCGCGCGGACGATGACACGGAGCCGCTGCGGAAGCCGCTGATGGCCGACTGCCGGACGGCGGCCGTCACCAACTTGCTGCGGAGTATGCCACGATCACCGCCGAAAACGCCACAGGGCGACCGGTCCTCGTCGCAAGCGTCCTCTGGCCACAGTACGCGTGCAAAGAGTTTGGCGGAGCTGGTTGGGCGGCGACCGTGTTGCGATGCTCCAAACACACCGCAATCGTACGGTTCACGATTGCCACGACGCGCGATGGCCGACCATACGAGGACGCGCGCGTCCCGCTCGACCAACTGCGGCCGCTGCCTTCGCGACAACTGACCGCATAAGGCGCGCTCCAGATGGTGAAACCCATCATAATCAACGCAGGGTGGAACCCGATACAATCACCGCAGGGTGGAACCCGATATAATCACCGCAGGGTGGAACCCGTCATAATCACCGCAGGGTGGAACCCAATATAATCACCGCAGGGTGGAACCCGTTATAATCACCGCAGGGTGGAACCCGATATAATCACCGCAGGGTGGAACCCGATATAATCACCACCATGCTACCCGGCTTGCGAGTAGGGAGGAGGAGGCTGCGCTGCGCAAGCACGGGCGGGAGGGGCTTCTCCTGCGGAGTCGTGCGTGCGCAGGGCTCCTCTTTGCTTTCTTCTACTCCCTACTATCATCTCGTTCCCGTCCTACCAGAGAAGGTTACTTCCCCCAGGATTGGTCTTCTCTGCATGCGGGAACACCCTCGGGCGGCCGGGTGGGGCTGCGGCTGGAGCTAGCATGGCTCGGTAGAGCCGAGACCCCGTGTTGAGGCGGCGCTCCTGTGGGCGGCTGTGGAATCGGGAGGTATTCGAGGCAGCCAGATCTCCCGATCTCATCCCAGTGATGGACGTCCGTACGTCCCTTCTTAGTGATTGTGTTTCGGACGGCCCTTCGTTGTGTTCTCCTCCGTCCGCCAGCGAGACTGGCTCAGTCGCTGGCGGCCACAGTTCTCTGTGACCCACCCACCTCTCCCTTGTGTTTTGTCTGGGGAGGGGCTTCTCCTGCGGAGTCGTGCGTGCGCAGGGCTCCTCTTTGCTTTCTTCTACTCCCTGTGAGAGAGGCTTGTATCTTAAGAATTCTACTCCCTACTATCATCTCGTTCCCGTCCTACCAGAGAGAAGCGTCTGTGCATCTCGGTCGCCGTAGAAAAAGAATTCTTTCGACCGCACACTGCAAATTTGTCCACTCACGACGCAGGCACGGGACTGGCGCGCACTGGCACTAACACAGGTACACCAGCTGGAGAAAGAAATTTACGAGGCTCGAGAAGAAGAATTTAACGAAAACATCTCTCTGTCTCACACCGCAGGCTCGTCACAGCACACAGGCGCGGAGCCGCGGACTGGCACCCGATACGTTCGAAGGCGGAAAGGCAGGCGAAACGTACACACAGAGCCTTCCACTCTTTTGCCCTTCTCATCACTGCCCCGGCACCCACGCCTCGATCTTCATCGGCAGCAGCTGGTGCTGCTGGTCGCCGTGGCCTAGCTGGCCGCCCCCTCCCCAGCCCCAGCTCCAGACGCCGCCGTCGGCGGTGAGGGCGATGCTTTGGGCGCATCCCGCGGACACAGCGACGACGCGCCGCCCAGCAAAGGCCTCGACCTTCTTGGGCAACGGCTGCAACTCCTCGTCGCCGTGGCCCAACCGGCCATAGTCTCCATCGCCCCAGCTCCAGACGGCGCCGTCGGCGGTGAGGGCGATGCTGTGGCCATCTCCAGCCGAGACAGCGATGACGCGCCGCCCAGCCAACGCCTCGATCTTCTTGGGCAGCAGCTGGCTCTGTTGCTCGCCGTGGCCTAACTGGCCCCCGCCTCCAAAGCCCCAGCTCCAGACGGCGCCATCAGCGGTAATGGCGATGCTGTGCGCCCCTCCAGCCGACACAGCGACGACGCGCTGGCCAGCAATGGCCTCGATCTTCTTGGGCAGCAGCTGGTCGCCGTGGCCTAGCAGGCCATGTACTCCATAGCCCCAGCTCCAGACGGCGCCATCGGCGGTGATGGCGATGCTGTGGCCATCTCCCGCCGAGACAGCGACGACGCGCCGCCCAGCCAACGCCTCGACCTTCTTGGGCAGCAGCTGGCGCTGCTGGTCGCCGTGGCCCAACCGGCCAGACTCTCCACGGCCCCAGCTCCAGAGAGCGCCGTCGGCAGTGATGGCGAGGCTGTGCGCACCAGCCGACACGACGACGACGCGCTGGCCGGCAAAGGCCTCGATCTTCTTGGGCAGCAGCTGGTCCTGCTCGTCACCGTGGCCCAGCTTGCCCCCACCTCCATCGCCCCAGCTCCAGACAGAGCCGTCGGCGGTAAGGGCCAGGCTGTGACACTTGTCAGCAGATACGCTCACGGCGCGCTCGCTGCCCAGCGTTGCGGGGAGGCGGGTCGGCGTGTTGAGCCGCATCACGCCCTCGCCGTGGCCGAGTAACAGCCCCTCGCCCACGACACACGCCCTCGGCCACGTCACACGACACGACACACAGAGCCGCCCCTCGCCGTCGATGAAGACGCTGTGATAATCGCCTGCCGCTGCCCTCGCCGGAAGGTTGGACTCGCACAGCAGCGCAGCGAAGCACAGCCACCGCACGGCACAGCTCTCGCCCTCTGGCTGCGCCGGCAGCTCGAAGCCGCGCTCGTGCGCCCACAAGCGGATGGCCTCCACCGCGAGCGAGGCGTGGAAGAGCAGCGAGACGGCCGCGGCGCGAGCGATGTCGACGGGGTCGCAGCGAGAGAGGGCGCGCACGAGGAGGTCGGTGGGGAGGTCGAGGAGGCGGATGGGCGTCGGCCTGATTGGCGAGAGTGCGGCGGTGGCGGCGGCGGCGAGGCGGCGCGAGCGGCAAAGAATTTTACATGCCAAAACGCACATGCTCGACACAGATGCGGACTGAAAGAATTTTGTTGGGCCAACAAGAAGCCCGCACCACCCCCGGCTCACGCAGAATCCAAAGCACCTTTATCACTGCCTCTTTGATTGTAAAGGGAGGGTGGGGGGAAGCCATCGCACAATGGCAACCGTCGTTCACGAGTGGCTGCGAGTTCGAGTGGCTGCGAGTTCGAGCCTGAGGTGTCGTGGCGTGTGACGTGTCCCGTGTGACGTGCCCCGTGTGACGTGCCCCGTGTGACGTGCCCCGTGTGACGTGCCCCGTGTGACGTGCCCCGTGTGACGTGCCCCGTGTGACGTGCCCCGTGTGACGTGCCCCGTGTGACGTGCCCCGTGTGACGTGCCCCGTGTGACGTGCCCCGTGTGACGTGCCCCGTGTGACGTGCCCCGTGTGACGTGCCCCGTGTGACGTGCCCCGTGTGACGTGCCCCGTGTGACGTGCCCCGTGTGACGTGCCCCGTGTGACGTGCCCCGTGTGACGTGCCCCGTGTGACGTGCCCCGTGTGACCTGCCCCGTGTGACGTGCCCCGTGTGACGTGTCCCGTGTGACCTGCCCCGTGTGACCTGCCCCGTGTGAAGTGCCCCGTGTGACGTGCCCCCTGTTACCCTGCCCCCTGTTACCTGC